TGGCTTATACGTAACAAGTAATTATTTACTTTATAGTATATTTCTGTTTTCTCTTATCTTATTGTTTTATTCTAAAATTTTGCAATAAAATAACGATTGTAATTAAATGACTTGTAACTAATAATATGAAGAAACTAAAATTTATAACGCATTAGCAACGGTTATGGTTAAACCAAACCTAGCAAAAAAAACAATCAAAACCCGTGAATCTAATCCAATAATTAACGAACTGAGTTAAAAATTTCAAGATAGATCAATCCGTTTAATTAAATGGTTGAGTAATTGTTGGATTTTCCAACAATATAATTCACCAACCAAACATATATTTTTATATTTATTTAACATATAATATTTTAATTATAATTCATTACATCCAACAATTACCCCTAAATCTTAACACAAATTAAAAAGGCTACATTATTTTCTGAAATCCAAAACACAAACAATAACGTGGTTTATTTGTTCATGTTCGAATCTTAACACCTCATATATGTTAGGAATTGAGACAGGGTACACGCAGCGGAAACACTATCACACACTCACAAACGAAACGAGAAAATAAAGCAATAAAGAACACAAGGATTTTACGTGGTTCGGATTCGGTATAAATCCTACGTCCACGGGCGCAACTAGATTTTATATTAACTCACTATAAGATTACAAATGGTAATATCACTCGGCACAAATACAAAGAGTTACATCGCACATATATATACTGAGAGAGGAGCCGTTTTGTTTGACCAGCCACCATTTGAATTTTCTTCCATTCACATGTTACGGCCGAAACAAAATTGCACATGGATTCCATTAAACAATTAATACTTTTGCCGTCCACTCACCGTCCAATAAACAAATATTAAACAATTCAATTGTTTAATTTGTCAAGTTACATTTATGGCCCTTGAACTCTTAGGAACTTGTCAATTTGTTCAAGACTCCATAAATCTTAACAATCTCCCACTTGGAGGCTTGAACAACTTTAGCTTTTCTCCGCCATTCAACTCTCAGTTATTCCAGTAATCTTAAAAAACAACCAAGTCCTTTTAGGCTTCCAGTTCCAATGAACAAGCTAAAACTTAGTCTGATTTCTCTAGTTGCAGCCGCTCCTCATCATCAATTACTAGAAGGGCCAGTTGAAGCTCCCACTAGCTCCAACTCAGCCGTGGCTAATCCCACCATCGACTCATCCTCTGTCTCAACTAGTTTGGACACTCCACCGGATCCAGAGATACACCGAGGACCACTAACACTCTCCAAACATAGCAAACATCCAACAGGAGAGAAATTTTCAGTCTTAGTCTTCAAAACCCAACGGCTCTTTGTAACTGTACCCGGAACACGCCCCGTGCTCCCACTGTCACAGAATCTCCTGACTAGTTTAGACTTTCCGACTCGTTCAGCTAACATCCCCTTGGCTTCAGAATTCATGTTTGCAAAATGAACTCTCTTAGCCGTAGATTTAGCGAACCAGATTTTGTCTTGCTTAATCGGGATGGTCATACTTCCCTCAGCAGGTACCTCAACCATATACAATGACCCACGCTTCAAACCTTGAGCAATCACCGAATTACCATTGACCACCATCCATTTACCACCACCAAACCTTACTTCCAGTCCTTGTTTATCCAGCTGACCAACAGAAATCAATTTCTTTTTCAGCTCCGGAATCACCTTGACATTTTTCAGGTTCCATGTAGTTCCCAATGAAGTAACCAGATCAATATCTCCCATGCCCGTTACCTGAAGCATCTCGTCATTTGCCAACCGTACCTTCCCAAAATCTCCTTCTTTTAGATTCACCATCGTTTCCCTGTTGTCCATGGCGTGAAACGAAGCCCCTGAATCCATGACCCAAGAGTCTACAGAACTTTCCATACTGAGTATCAATGCATCATCCTCAGACACACTCTCAGCACCAGCAATGTTCAATTCTTTCTTTGGACATTGACTCTTAACATGTCCCACTTCTTGACAGTTCCAGCATTTCACATTCTTCAAAGTTCTAGAAGAACTTTTTCCCCGACTCCCACTGCTCCTGCTATTCCCTCTACCTCTTCCGACATTTAATAAATCAGAAGAGGAAGATCCACCTTGATTCTTGCGTCTGATATCCTCGCCTAGAACCAAATCTCTAACCCCTTCAAAAGTCATACCACTGGTCCCCACGGAACTTGTAACAGCAGTAACTGTTCCGGACCAGCTATCAGGTAGAGAAGCTAGTAGCAGCGAAGCTTGAGTCTCATTATCAAATTTAATTCCCACAGATGATAATCTGGACAGAATTGAATTTAGATTGTTAATGTGAACCGTAACTGAGCCTTCCTCATTCATCCTTGTAGTGAACAGCTCCTTCATCAAGAACACCTTGTTAGCCGCCGATGGTTTCTCATACATATTTGACAGAGCCTCCATCATACCACGCGCCGTGGTTTCATTCATGATGTTGAAAGCAACGCTCTTCGTCAACGACAATGTAATAACCGCCTTGTCTTTCTTGTCCTTTGAGTTCCACGCATCTTCAGCAGCTTTTTCCATTTTCTCCGGTTTGTCTCCGAGTACCATCCAAGTCTTTCTGACATAGCAATGCTTCTAATTGCATTTTCCACCAGCTAAAATTAGAACCATTGAACCTTTCGATTATAATCTTGTCTTCAGCCATTACGGCAAACAAAAAAAAAATTAGGTACACTCGTGTGTGACAGAAAAAACGATCGTACCCTCCAAACCTCGCTAATCTAGCTTTGATACCAATTGTTAGGAATTGAGACAGGGTACACGCAGCAGAAACACTATCACACACTCACAAACGAAACGAGAAAATAAAGCAATAAAGAACACAAGGATTTTACGTGGTTCGGATTCGGTGTAAATCATACGTCCACGGGCGCAACTAGATTTTATATTAACTCACTATAAGATTACAAATGGTAATATCACTCGGCACAAATACAAAGAGTTACATCGCACATATATATACTGAGAGAGGAGCCGTTTTGTTTGACCAGCCACCATTTGAATTTTTTTCCATTCACATGTTACGGCCGAAACAAAATTGCACATGGATTCCATTAAACAATTAATACTTTTGCCGTCCACTCACCGTCCAATAAACAAATATTAAACAATTCAATTGTTTAATTTGTCAAGTTACATTTATGGTCCTTGAACTCTTAGGAATTTGTCAATTTGTTCAAGACTCCATAAATCTTAACAATATAACATGTAAAATTATATACCATTAATATATACTTTATCAACTTATACGACATGTCATTTTTAATTCGTCTTTTTATGATCCACATATATTGCTTATTTTTTAAACTATTGGACAGATTGCCAAATAGTGTGAGAGGAGGTACTAAGAAATCTTAGTTTGAGTGACACTTGGCCAAATAAATATGAGATTTGGATAACTCCTAAGAGTTCATAGTCAATGTTACTAGACACATTATTGACGATTATACCTTAAATGATGGAAATGATTTGTCCCGAGAAAAATAAACATCCTTGCTTTGCAGGATATTTTGAATTGCTTGCCCACAACATATCACGAGGCCTAGTCTTATTATGAGTTCCATATTATGTCCGATTTGCTCAAATCACCCAGAAGAGATTAATTGCACATCATTTCTTGGAATGTGATGTAGCAGCTCGAATGTGAAATGTTATTGCTTTGTGGTTTGAGTTGACCCTTCCATCTTTCAATTTTGTTCTTGATGTCCCTCCATGGCCGGATTCTCAACTTGTCTCATGCTCCAAAAATCAATTATTGAAGTAATGAACTATTTGCTATAGTTTTTGGCGAAAAGAAAAGTAGACGAGAAGCTATTTTTTTTATTATAATATATAGTGGGGTATTCATTTAATTGGTTTGCTAATAAAAACCGTAAAATCTACCCTAATAAATGAATTTTTTTTAGTCATATGTCACACTCTCATTCAATTTGCCAAATGTCATTTTGTGATTATTTTGAATTATTTTTTTTTACACATGCCATTTTATGAGTTTTTCTATTTTATTAAATTTAACATAATATTTTAATGTAATAATTGCAATAAATGTAGTAATAAATAAATATCAATTTCATTAATGAACTTATCTATTAATTTCAAAATTATCAAATTAAAGCTCATTAGTTTCTTTTGTTTATATATTTAAATTATTTGTTTAAATTTCAAAGATAAAAAATATTTCAATTATAATAATTTATTATTTTTTTTTATTTTCTTATAAATTCAAAGTTGTCAAACATTTTGCCCTTTATATTTGACTTTTTTTTTAAATTAACCCATATATTATATGAGTCTCAGTACAACTAGTTAATATAAATCGGGTCTTTTGGCTACAAAACCCAGTTCTTGCAACTTCATTGTGCCAATAGTAACTGTTTGTTAGAAGTGTTGGTGTCGGTTTAGGTTTAAAGATTTAAATTAGTGCATTTTGTCATATTACCATTGACATGGACATCATTTTACTAAAGATTCACATTGGTAACTATTTACATACTATATTGTAAATTTTTAATTTTACCGAAATAGTTATTAAAGTATGTAACTATGTTTTTTTTATGAAAACATCAAACTTTCAATTATTATATCTACAACATTGTGATTTGGTCGTAAGGTTAGTTAAATATATAATGGGCTAACCTGCTACCCATTTACCATTCCTATAATTGAGGATATTTACCTAAAGTACAATAATGCTGAAAAAAAAAAAAAAAAAAAAGACTATAACAGATGGAAAAAATATATTATTTTATCTAATTTCTACATTTAAACTTTTTTTTTTATACTTAAAAATATACTGTTTTTCCATATGTAGATGTCTAGATGAGGTGGGACCAGCGAGTAATGGATGTGGGCTTAAGTCTCTACCCTCCTCCTGTTAATGCTGTTTATGACCCCGGAATTTACCCCCCGACGCGCCTTTTAACTGACTTCTCTTAAACTTCAGTTATTTTAATCATCAAAAATTAAATAAATAAGATTCGTGTAAAATGCAACTTTACATAAAGGTATGATAAGAGATATGATGATTATGTTAAATCTGGTTTTACATATTAAAGTTAACAAAGTTCATTCGAAGGACAAACACGTGAGATGATTACTTTTTGATGACAAAAAAGTTAAAAAAAAACAGGGACCATTTCCATATGTGAACAAATTTAACACAGGTACAAAAAAAAAAAAAAAACTTAGCATATAGTTTATTACAAAATAAAAACTGAGATTCTTGATTGAATTATTAATAAGATAAAATGATTTATTACGAATAAATCCAAGTTTTGACTTGCGAGTGGTGGTAAGGATGTCTCAGTACACAAGACCCATCTCTCTCTTTCTCTCTCTAAAAACAACAGACTTCCAAAGGCTGCCCCAAACTGTCAGAATATATAAATGCTAAACAAGAAAATGTATAGACTTTTTCTTTAATTTTCTTATTATTATTATTTTTTCTAATTTCCATTTTCCATTTTCCATTTCTGGATTTCAGGAATTAAACTCCTCTCTATCTATCCATTCATCCGTCTCTCCCCTTCCTCTTTCGCAGATCCACGACTTTCCAAACCCTAGATCAGACAACAACAACTGCATTATGCAACTCTCACTTTCAGGTACTATTTTTATCCTTTTGTTGTTCTGATCACTGGGTATAAAATTATTTCGATTTCATAACCTGGGTACAGCTTATTTTGAAGTAATTTGACTTAATTACGCACGAATTTCGGGGAAGCTGCTGGAATGTGCTTGTTGTGGAGACTAATTTCTAAGATTTTATGATTTCGTTTTGTTGTTTTAGTGAAATTGGGGAAAAGAGGTGAGTGATTGAAGTGAGTTTTGCATTCGGTGGATTATGGGTTGTGTTTGTGGCAAGCCTTCCGCCATTGACGACAGCAGAGAGAGTCCGAGGGACAGATATGGCGATAAAACTCAGTCTGAATTACGTGTCCCTAGGGTTGCATCATCAAGAAGAGAAGTCTACAGGGTCAAATCACAATCAGATAATAACGATGGTGGACCAATGATTATCGATAAACATGTCAATGGCTCAATCAGATTACCAGGAGAGAATCTTGAGAGAAAAAGAGAGAAAACAGAGTCCATCGTTTCAACACACCTTCCTGTTCTAACCAGTGTCCCTAGAGCCACCGAAGGTGAGCAGGTGGCCGCCGGTTGGCCACCATGGCTGGCGGCAGTTGCAGGTGAAGCTATCAAAGGATGGGTACCCAGAAAAGCAGATTCTTTTGAGAAATTAGATAAGGTTTGTTTCCTTATTCTTTAAACTTTATCTCCAATTCATGAACATGAAGCATTTCCAATTCATAAGTTGATGGTTTTCTTGCCATTTTTTTTGTTTTTTCAGATTGGACAAGGTACATATAGTAATGTTTATCGAGCACGTGATCTTGATCATGGAAAGATTGTTGCACTAAAGAAAGTAAGATTTGACAATTTGGAGCCTGAAAGTGTCCGATTTATGGCTAGAGAAATTCACATTTTACGCAAACTTAATCATCCAAATGTTATAAAATTAGAAGGTCTTGTAACCTCACGAATGTCATGCAGTTTGTATCTTGTTTTTGAGTACATGGAACATGATCTAGCTGGACTTGCTTCTCACCCTAATCATAAGTTCACAGAATCACAAGTTAAATGCTACATAAGGCAGCTTTTGAAAGGTCTTGATCATTGTCATAGTCATGGGATTCTCCATCGTGACATAAAAGGTTCAAACCTTTTGGTTGATAATAATGGGGTTTTAAAGATTGCTGATTTTGGACTGGCGAGTTTTTTTGACCCTGGTCAAAGTCAACCGTTGACTAGTCGGGTTGTGACTTTGTGGTATAGACCACCTGAGCTTTTACTTGGTGCTACTTATTATGGGACAGCTGTTGATTTATGGAGTACTGGTTGTATAGTTGCTGAATTGTATGCTGGAAAGCCGATAATGCCTGGAAGAACAGAGGTATGTGATTTTTATAGGTTTGACATTTGGTATAGACTATAGATAGTTAACATTTTATTCAAAAAATGTCACAAAGTTCAAAGCTTTATTTGATATCCATCACAAAGTTCAAAGCTTTATTGGAATACTTATGAGTTATGACTATCAGATATACATCACAAAATCAAAGCTTTATTCGATAAACATCCCAAAGTTCAAAGCTTTATTTGATATCCATTATAAAGTTCAAATCATTATTTGATAAAAATCACAAACTTCAAAGCTTTATTAATCTTTATTTGATAAAAATCACAAACTTCAAAGCTTTATTCAATAAGCATCAGAAAGTTTAAAGCTTTCTTCGATTTCCATCACAAACTTTAAAGCCTTACTTATACTCATCACAAATTTCAAAACTTTATTCGAATATACATCACAAAGTTCAAAGCTTTATTTGAATATACATCACAAGTTTGAATCTTTATGTGACACCCATCATCGAGTTCAAATCTTTATTTGATATACATCACAAAATTCAAATCTTTATTCGATATACACCACAAAGCTCAAAGCTTTATTCAAATAAACATGACTATTCCACATACATCAAAAAATCTAATCTTTATAAATATAATATATCACAAAGTTCAAAGCTTTATAAGATAAACATTCCAAATTTCAAAGCTTTATTCGACATACATGATAAAGGTCAAAACTGTCTTTATTCTATTAACATTACAGAGTTCAAATCTTTATTTCATTATTTGATATACACTACAAAGTTCAATGGTTTATTCGGTATGTACCAAAAAGTTCAAAGCTTTATTCAAATAAACATCATTATTCCACATACATCAAAAAATCTAATCTTTATTAATATATATCACAAAGTTCAAAGCTTAATAAAATGAAAATCCCAAATTTCAAAGCTTTATTCGATACACATCCCAAATTTCAAAGCTTTATTCATTTAAAATCACAAAGTTCAAATCTTAATTCGATATACATCACAAACTTTCAAACTTTTTTACTAACGAATCTTGTCATATTGTGGAATCCAGGTGGAACAACTCCACAAAATCTTCAAACTTTGTGGCTCTCCATCTGAGGATTATTGGAGAAAATCAAAATTGCCTCATGCCACCATTTTCAAACCTCAACAACCTTACAAACGATGTGTTGCAGAAACATTCAAGGAATTTCCAGCACCTGCATTAGCACTCATGGAGACTCTCCTCTCCATAGATCCTGCTGACAGAGGATCCGCATCTTCAGCCTTGAACAGTGAGGTATGAGTTTATGTGCATGATCTGTGACCCATGACCCATGACCCGACCCCATTTAATGCATCTTTTTCTTTATTTACAGTTCTTCACTACAAAACCACTCCCTTGTGATCCTTCAAGCTTACCAAAATACCCTCCAAGTAAAGAGTTTGATGCTAAAATACGCGATGAAGAGGCTAGAAGGTACATTTTGTAACTTTATTTACATTTTATATAATTTTAGCCAAAATGTGCTTGAATGTATTTGTTTTAAAGAGTAAATTACATTTTTGGTTCCAAAAGCTTTTCTCTTGCAATTTTGGTCCTTTGAGGTTTTTGTAACGTTTTGGGTCCTTGTTTCTAGTAAAATGACTATTTTTGGGACTAAAATTGCAAAAACATGCTTTAACTATACTCAGGGACCAAAAATCGTCATCTTACTTGAAATACAGACCAAAAGAGTTACAAGAGCCTCAAAAAAGGACCAAAAACGTCACAAGAATCTCAAAAGGACCAAAATTGCAAAAAAAAGCTATACTCAGGGGCCAAAAGTAGTCATTTTACTTGAAACACAGACCAAAAAAGTTACAAGAGCCTCAAAAAGGGACAAAAAACGTCACAAGAACCTCAAAAGGACCAAAATTGCAAAAACCAGCTATACTCAGGGGCCAAAAATGTAACTTACTTTTTTCAAAATTATAGACAAGCTGCAGCTGGAGGCAAGTCTCACCGACCCGATCCCGAAAGGCGAGCCACACGGGAGTCTAGAGCCATGCCAGCTCCTGAAGCTAATGCTGAACTTGCATCTTCCTTGCAGGTAAAGTTAGGGATAGTTTAGTAATTTTACATAGTTTATTTTTTGGAACTAACAAACAAAGTGAAATGTGTTATGTGAATGCAGAAAAGACAAGGGCAGTCTTATTCCCGTAGCGAAAAGTTCAACCCTCAACAGGAGGAATCGGCATCAGGCTTTCCGATTGATCCACCGAGACCTTCTCAAAATATGGAGGAAGAACAAGCCAACAATCTGCACAAAAGAGCTTCACATTCTGGGCCATTGGTTCAAAGGGCAGCATGGTCAAAAGTTGGAAAAAAAGTTGAATCAAACGGTGGAGATTTATCAGGAATTTCGGGTCTAGTGGCTGCTAGGAAGAGTATGTTGTCTGAAGATCGTAGGGACAAATCGGGAACTTCACAACAACATCATCCAAGATTGATTAGCCGATTTCCTGGATCACTTAAAGAAGCTTCTTCAAATGCTGCAAGCCACCCTAATGATGATGATGGAAGATCAAGCAATAAAGATCCGGTTTCTGTAAGTATTCAATGCGGGCAAATTGTCAATTTTACCCTAGATGCACAGACTGGACAAGCTTTCTAGGGATATTTTTTAAGATAAGAATAAGGAGAGGGCATTCACATCTTTTTGCACTGACAAGTGATCAAGAGGGAGTCCCACTGACACTATCTTAGTGGTCATGTTTAGTCTTGTCATGTATTGATTCTATCCACTCGTGTCATGTTCTGTCGTGTCGTGTCGTATCGTGTCGTGTCGTGTCGTATCGTGTCGTGTCATGTTTTGTCGTGTCATGTACTGATTCTGTCCAGTCTTGCTATGTTCTGTCGTGTCATTTACTGATTCTGTCGTGTCGTGTCGTGTCATGTTCAGTCCTGTCATGTACTGATTCTGTCTAGTCTTGTCCAGTCTTGTTATGTGCTGTCCCGTCATGTTTTGTCCTATACAGATTCTGTCTAGTCTTGTCTTGTCCTGCATAACAAATGGGGCCAAAAGTAATATTTTTTTTTCATGTTACAAATGTTACATGGAAGATTTCTTGACTAAGGAGTTTTATATATTTGTAGCTTGGATACGGGTCGAAAGGAAGCAAGATTCACTACTCGGGTCCATTACTAGCTCCATCTGGGAAAGTTGACCAAATGCTAAAAGACCATGACCGACAAATCCAAGAAGCTGTAAGAAGAGCACGTGATAAAACCAAAGTGAGAAAAGTTCAAGGAGAGAACACATTCTTTTCTGGTCGATAAGCTCAAAAGATTCATAAACACGGATCATCAAGAATGAATTTGTAGGCAATATAAATTCATATGTATAATGAGCTAAATGTTTAAAAGTTTTCACCCCTTGTCTTGTGTATAGTGGCATTCGAACGAATTGTGGGGGTTCATACTTGATTTTTTTTTCTTGTCTTTCTTTTGGTAGGGAAGAGGAAAGGGTGTGTTCTTGCAAATCCAAGTTCAAAGAATGTCCAATCTGTATCATTAAGCAATTGTGGTTTCTAAGACTAATCTGAGTTTGAAATTGAGCCATTTTGTTTGTTTTTTGTTTTATATGGGTACGTTTAAGCTAATGAGTATCTAATGAGATCCATTTTCGGCTTATATATATATATATATATATATATATATATATATATATATATATATATATATGCATTAAATAATACAGTTGATAAGTAGAACTATATTTAGAAAATGAGAAACAAAATAAAATAAATCATCAATGCAAATTTCAAAAATTAAAAATTTTGGATGCAACTGAATCCATTGAATATGGGCAGGGATTTACCGGAAAAATAATATCTTGGATAAATAATTGAATTTTAAAAATTTTGTGCCCCGTTTGAAAATTTATACGATGATTAAAAGAAAAAAAATTATATTTGTAGGCCCTTTACGCTTCAAAAGGTTGAATTTAGGGGCATGATTCTTGACTTTTGGTTCTTAGCAACCTGCACGACAACAACAAAAAAAAACCCTCCAAAATTACTAAAATTATCCTCCAAATATTTATATTTTGCTGAAATAACCCCTCATGACACCATCTTTTGCTGAAAATCTCCAATTTTGTACCATTTTTCACACTTGATGATGATCTTACGGTGTATCTGTGTTTCTCTGGCTAAAGATCTCCAGACCATATCCTACCCCATGATATATTTCTCCTCATCCCCTTTTGATACATGGTTTATGAAATTCTAGGGGTTTCATTTCCTTTAAAAGGTGTCTGGACTGTCTGATATATATACTTTAATTCAATTCGATTAGGAAACTAACCAAGTTACTACTTTTGCCATTAGTCCTTACTCTTATACTTGTATTCCTACCAAATTCCAATTAAAATTGATTTTAGGGGAATTAGGTAATTAATACCAACTTAATTTAATAACAATATATACCTAATAAACACAAGTTCCTAAAAGTATATCTATCCTTTTATTTCAATTGTACACACCTAAAACTATATCAATAAAATTCCAAGTTAATTATTGAACTACATGGAATCAAATATCCTTTAAACATAGACACCATTCGATTTTTGTGCTTGATACAGTGACAACCTGAAATTTCCAAGCTTGTTTAATCAATTAAACCTATCAGTGTTAGACTCATTTTGCTTCCAATTATCACTGTTTGGAACCTGTTTCAAGTGTTCTAACCCTAGTACATCAAAAGAATAAGAGATTGGAAATAGCAACTTAAGTTCTTAACTGCCTGCAACCGTAAACCTCCTCAAAAAGGGAGTTTACGGTCAAGACCAATGAGTTTACGGTCATGGTGACCGTAAACTCCATGCTATATATATGGTCCTTAGTCATTTTCAATCACTTTTCACAATTTCAAGCCAAAGAACTCATTCTCTCTCAAGTACCATCCGAATTTTCCCTTAGATCTTCAAGATTGTAAGTGTTTCTTCCCTTGATTTGTTGATATCCTTCAATATCAAGTGAATACACATGATTTCATCCATGAAATCTCTTCTTTTGACTAGATCATCAAGTGTTCTTCATTTCACCAAGAACACCAAGAACACACACTAGTGTTTTTGGACCTTAAACACCCTCAATTGCCTTCAAATCGTAAGTATACTACCCATGGCTTGTTATATACTTGAATCAGTTGTTAAACACCTAGAAAACATCAAGAAAATCAAGAACAAAAGGTGTTTATGGTCTAGTGCATCTTCATAGACCGTAAACCCTTATAAAGGGTGTTCTTATAGCCTTTACCCTTCCTAAGGCTAAGCTTGGTCCCTAGAATCCGATGTCTTTGATTGAAGCCCTTGAAAACCTTCATTTATGAAAGATTTGATGAGTTTACGGTTGAATCTCCTTAGACCGTAAACTCCATGACCGTGAACCCAAGAACCGTAAACCTTATGACCGTAAGGTCATTGAACCGTGAACCCATGGGACCGTAAACCCATTGAACAGTAAACACATAGGACCGTGAACCACTTTGACCGTAAACTCTTATGGTCATACCACTTGGACCGTAAACTCCTTAGGGTGGCCATACACCTTTAGTATGCAATCACATGTGATTATAGCACTTAAATCTAAGTGTATCCTATGTCCTAGGGTGTTTCTTTTCATGATTAGTTGTATAAACACTAATTATATGCTTATATGTATCATTATATGATAAATAGGATCTGTGTGTGTGCTCAAGTCTTCACTTGGCACTTAGCATCCTATACCACCCGTTCATCCAAACCACTCACTACATGTGAGTTCATACCCCCATCTTTTCATAGTTTTTACTGTTTTAAGGGGGGGGGGGGATACAAGTCTAACACAAAGATTTTGTGTTATAACAAATAATTTCAAATGGATTACAGTTATCAAAACAAATGATTTTAAATGGATTACAGTTATCAAAACAAATGATTTCAAATGGATTACAGTTATCAAAACAAATGATTTCAAATGGATTACATTTATCAAAACAAATGGTTTCAAACATCTTATCAAAATGAATTTCAGTATCATCAAATGAAGTGGTTTTAAGTGATTGTTTCAAAAAGACGTCAAGTCACCAAAATGGATTTCAAAATATGAAACTTCTTTTAAATATTTTATAAACTTATATTTTTCCCCAAAAAATCATACTAGTATACATATATTTATATAAATAATATTTTAAAAGATTTAGGACTGATAACCCACTTTGGTTCATTTTCCTTGTTTGGATGTGGGATTACAAGTATTAGTTATTTGTCCGAGTGTCATTTAAATTTTACTTATATATATTGTATATGTATACAAGTATAAAAGTTTATTCATTTAGTTTCAATTACCCTTTTGTAACAAGTTGAGCAAGGGGTTGTATTCATTAATACTAAGTATCAATACATAAAGTACATATAAATTATAATAGGTATAATTTATGATTCACATAACAATAATTCATGATTCAAGCATACTAGAGTACATTGTTTTACAAGAACAAAGATTGATTCAAAACTATTCAAGGATATACATTCTTTCAGATACATGTTAAGAGTACTAATTCAAGAGCATACTATCAATCATTTACTTTAGAATGATTGGGTTTTCATAACTAATATACATGTAATGTTTATATGCTTTTATGAGACAAGTAGTACAGTTTGTTTAATTCATTTTAAACAATATAGTAAAGTCCTGATATTATAACCAGAGTCTCCAGCAGGGGATCGAAACAATGGGTGTATAGATCTATATTGGGACTGACAATCCCGCACTCAGACTGCTAGCTACAGTCAGGCATACACGCCTGTGGGTGACAATTGTTATCATCAACTTTGCGCATTCATAGCGTCGGGTCAGGCCATCTAGTCAGTATGGTTATAATAACTCATTAAAAGATATCAACAATACGTTAGTGTATAATTAACTAAACTTAAGTACATTTTCAAAGTACTAGTTTACAAGATACAGTTTACAAGATACAGTTAACAAGATACAAAATTTACATAAAGATTACAAATACAGATAATTGGTTTTCAAATAGAACAGTTTTATACAAATACAACTACTTTTCATATACAACAAAAAATATAGGATTTTCTGGAAACAGTTTACATATTCAAGAAACAGAAGATATTCTTACATACATCAAAAACTTATGCACTCACTCAACTTTATGTTGATACTCTCTTTTCAAATTACTTGTATTCTCAGGGAACCAGTAGACAGGTACACCCGAGCTTTTGAGAAGATGGAGCTATTTATGTCTTGTCTTCTTCTTTTGTACAACTTTATAGTTTCAGTATACAATGTGAAACACATGTAAATATTTATACTTTTTAATACAATGGTTGTTTGTACTTTGATTACTATATTACATGTGTTGTGATACTACAAATGAAGTCCTCCACCCCCGGACGTTTCCGCCGTCTGGTTTGGGGGTGTGACAGATACCGCAGGGGCAAATTGGTCTAGTTTGCGCCTAAGAGCATCCACAATGTAAATTCCATCAGATGCAAAGTCACAACGCCATACATCCGATTCAGTACTCTAGTTTGTGTTGATTTCGCATCTGTTTTTGTTAAAGAGAAATAAATAGTAAAATATAGTTATGAATGTCTAAAACCATGTTTGATAATTTTCTCCTCTTCTTGACATCACAAAGAATCAATGCAGAAACTTACAGATTTTTCCATGACAATTTAGTATTTTTCTCGATTTAATGACTTGTTAAGGGATTAAATTGATGAAAAATAGCTACGCTTATCCAAAAAATATGAAACTTCATCAGAATATCTTATATTACATGTTGATTGTAAACAAAAAGTTTAGTGAATTGTAACTTCTGTTTAAGAATTATTCACGAATTAATGCTATTTAAGTGAATAAAACAATAAAAAAAATAGCCAAACTGATTGAAAAGTAACTGTTAAATTTTCCCAACTTCTATATGTTTAATAACACTGGCACAAAAAGTTTGGGGAATTTTGGAAACTGTTTTTTATTTATCTCCATTTTTGTTAGAATAAATGCACAAAAATAATAAAATCGGGTGAAACTGTTTAGAAATCCATTTTTATAATTTCCCTGCTTAATTATGTTTAATAACAGTATTACAAGAAGTTTGGGAATTTTTATTGTGACATCCCCATTTTCACGACCAGAAAAGACCCGATTTTGTTTATGCTTTATAAAAATCAGAGTACCTCTTTTAATAAAAATGTTGCAGAATTTGTTCCCAGTAAAACATGATAAATACGTTATCAAAGCATTTCCGAAGAAAATTATTTTTATTCATTTTAAAACATTTGGGATGTCATCGTCAATACAGAAACATAAGCATAAACAGAACTTACATTCATTATCACTAGTGATTTATATCTCCTTAATCTCTCAGTGTAATGTGACTTCATATCAACACCTGTGATATAAATAAATTGAGTGGGTCAGGTTGGGAAACCTGGTGAGTACATAGGGTTTTCAACCCACAATAAATAAGTTTATTAACTTTATCAAACCAAACAAACCCGATTACCCGTTCCCGTTATCCTCACTTTACGTCCCTAAAACATCTAACACAATGGACCTAGTCTAAGGACTTTCATCG